AAACAGATTTTTTTAAACATCGACAGGCCAAATTTCTCCCCGGGAGGTCCGGTCCTAACGAGGAAACAAAATTCGTCTCGGTTCGTGCATTCGCTCCTTCCTCCCGGTGGGATCGCAGCGATTTTAGTGGAGCCTCCCGCGAAATTTCGATCGGCGGAGGTTAGCGGGCGGGAAAGTTTTCGCGTGTTCGTCCGGTAAATTTTCATCTTTTATGGTTAAGCCTCCAGAATTTGTTCTATGTGGTAACGAACTTTGTCCTATACAACTATAGTTGCATGATAATTTTTTTTTACCATTGTGTTATAACTATTATATGCTATAAGAAGTTGGTAATAATAATAATCGCGTGGGTTTCGATAAGAAACCGAAAGCGGTCGCGACGCATCGTCGCGACCGTGACGTAACGCAGCCGGAAACGGAACGGCGACCGCACCTTCGCGGATCCGGCATCGAGGATGGGAAACCCGCCTTCGAGGATGGGAAACCCGCCTTCGAGGACGGAGGAAGCGAAAGGGAAAGGAGGCGCTGAGTCTTCATTTCTCCGAAGGAGGCTTCGGCTGACTTTCACTCGCCCCGACCCACCCGGGATCGCATGCCCCGTCGGCGGCGAGTGGACGTCAGTCCGCCGAGCGTCGTCCGTCCCGGCGAGTGTCTTCCCGCCCTCCTCCTCTGTAACGCGTGGTCATCCTCCTCTGTAACGAGCGGTCATCCTCTGTAACGTGTGGTCTTCCCGTCCTCCCTTGCGGCGTCTGAGTCTCTTTCGTTTCGAGATGTTGCTCAGTTCGTTGAGGTCGGGGCCGCTTGTCACAGCGGGGCGCGTGGGCGCTCTTGCACGTGTCTCGTGCTCCATCTCGTGCCCTGTCTCGTGCTCCATCTCGTGCCCTGTCTCGTGCTCCATCTCGTGCCCTGTCTCGTGCTTTCTTGTCTTACCTTTCTGGTGGAAACATCCCCCTATTCATTAAATGGGGAAACGGAGTCTCGGCGAAGCGGCATTTCCATTCCAGATGTTTCATTCGTGTCGGAAGCAACCCCGAGGAGCTTTCATCGCGTGACGTCGAGACTCTTCAAATTTTCATCGAAATTTTAATTCATCAGAGAAATTCCTAATGTGAGACGGTCTACCCGCGACGTCCGCAGAAACGTTCCGCATTTGAAACGACCCGATCGGCAACCATCGACACCGATTGGAAATTCTCCATTTTTTGCCATTTCTGCAATTTTTTGCCATTTCTTTTCCTGACGGCTGGAGTCGTCTCTCCATCATTAACGCGTTGACGACCATTTTTGCTCGTCCTGCCGTCAGGACGCATGGTCCCAGAAAGCATTTTTTTTGCCGAGTTTTTTTTTAATGTTGAATTTTTTGGAATTTTTTATCAGTAATTACGAAATCATAATCTTCTGGAACGTTCTCAACAGTTCCAGAACAGAACAGTTCCATTCGTTGAAAATGAAATCTGCATCCCGGCATCATGGACGCATTGTCGCCAAATTTTATTGCAAAAACTTGCGGGAAACGGATTTCTCATATCGACACACGTAGTTTCGTTCAACCTTTATTCTAAATTTATCCCCACGAGTGATGAGGTCCTGGAGAAAATAAAATAATTGACCCAAGGCGATGTGATTAATAATATAATTCCTGCAGCCGTATGCTTAATTGCATGCCATTTCCCCTTTTCCAGATTAAGCCCGCAGCATGCACCCCCGCGAGACATAAACCCCAGACCTTGATCGTCACCTGCACCCGCATGCGGTCATCGCCCGATGGCTCCTCAGTCGCTCCTCCTCGCGCTCCTCCCGCTCCTCACGCTCCTCCTCGTCCCCGACGCGTCCGGCCGCGTTCACGGCCTCTGGGTTCACCCGTGGGTCTGGCGGGGGGTCGGCGATGCTCGGCCCGAGTCGCGGATCGTGCAACGGGATCGATCGCGGTCTCTACCGGATCCCGGTTATACGGGTCGGGTGCTGTGGCCGACCGACGGCCGAAGTCCGGACGATGCGACTTCCGACGTCCCGAGTGACGACTTCCTCGAGTCTCTTTCGTTCTCCGACGACGATGGAATTTCTCCGTCCGACTCCTACGAGGGCGGACCGCAAGGCTCGTACGGCGACGTCCAGCCGTCCGAAGACTTCCACGAGAGCCCGTACGACGATGGGAATCGGTACGTGTCGATCCCCTACGACCGGGTGAAAACCGCACTGCACGGCGCCTACGAAGTCCCAGAGGGACAGGAAGACTTCGCCGCCTTCGTCGATCGCGACCGGGACAGGTACCGTCAACTGGACGTCGACCGGGACGCTTTCGGACGCGACGAATGGGTCGACTTCCAACAGAGCCCGTACGATCAGGACGCGACGGTCGAAACTTACGACGAAGACGCGTTCGGCTCAAATCCTCATGCCCAAGATTCCTCGCTCCAAACTCCTTATTCCCTGGGTGCCTCGCCCCAAATTCCTTACGCTCAAAATTCCTCACCTCAAGTTCCTCATGCCCTGGATACCTCACCCCAATCTCCTTATTCCCAGGGTGCCTCTCCCCAAGCTCCTAATTCCCAGGGTGCCTCGCCTCAAGTTCCGTATGCCCAGGGTGTCTCACCCCAAGCTCCTTATGCCCAGGGTGTCTCGCCTCAAGTTCCGTATGCCGAGGGTGCCAGTCCCCAAGCTCCTTCTTCCCAGGGTGTCTCACCCCAAGCTCCTTATGCCCAGGGTGTCTCGCCTCAAGTTCCTCTTGCCCAGGGTACTGTTTTCCAAGTTCCTTATTCCGAGGGTACCGTTTTCCAAGTTCCTTATTCCCAGGGTGCCTCTCCCCAAGTTATTTATGTCCAGGGTGCCTTTCCCCAAGCTCCTTCTTCCCAGGGTGTCTCACCCCAAGCTCCTTACGCCCAGGGTGGCTCGCCCCAAGCTCCTTACGCCCAGGGTGGCTCGCCTCAAGTTCCATATGCCCAGGGTGCCTCTCCCCAAATTCCTAATTCCCTGGGTGCCTCGCTTCAAGTTCCTTATTCCCAGGGTGCCTCTCCTCAAGCTCCTTATTCCCAGGGTGTCTCGCTCCAAGCTGCTTACGCCCAGGGTGCCTCGCCCCAAGCTCCATACGCTCAGGGTGCCCCGCCCCGAGTTCCTAATCCCCAGGGAGCCTCACCCCAAGTTTCTCATCTCCAGGGTACCTCGCCCCAAGCTCCTTACGCCCAGGACACCTCACCCGAACCTCATGACCGAGACAACTTCCCCTCAAATCCTCAGAAGCAGGTGATTTCGCCTCAAAGCCCTCCCAACCGGTACACCTTTGGTCAGGTCATCGACATTCGCACTTTGCATTCTCGACCCCATAACGAAAACGACTCACCCCAGACTTTCTATTCCCCTCACACCTTCCAACGACCCCCTCACGTTCCCTTTCGACGAGAAAATACGCCCGAAACCCTGGATTCTCGCCAGAAGAACCACGTCGACGCCCAAAATAACTACAGACCTCACCCGGAAGACACCCAGGGCCCGTTCTTCGACGGGCAGGAGCAAATTCCTCTCGATGTCCAAGACGACCGAGACCCGACTTACTTCGAACAGGTCCGGTTATTCTCTCGGAATCAAATCCCGGATGGAAACGGAGAAAGCATTCCTCTCGACGAACCCTTCCCCGCGACCCGCGACGAATTCAGGCGAACCTGGACGAAAATCCCAGAAAAGAAGAGACCCCAATCCGGTCTGACCCCGATATCCCTGGAAGTGGTGGGAGAAACGACGACCGACTCCAAACGCGACCAAGCGGCTCCATTCACGTCCACCGGAGACAAAGAGGAAAGCATCCCGACCCGTTGGGCCGATGGAGGTCAGGGCCAGGAAGACAATGGCGAAAGCGGACCCCTCCCGTCCACCGACCGGTCCATCATCCCCATCCCCCTCTTCTTCGGAGACCAAGAGCCCGCTGAATCCGCGGCTCTACCCTTCCCGATCGAACCCGACGAGGCCTACTTTGCGCCGAGGGATGAAGATGGAGGCTCATCCGTGCTCACGCCCGACGCCGCGACCGAGGTCACGTCCAAGGAGATCTACGTCTCGCCCGGGAGGAACAGCGTCAAGTTGGAATGCTTCGTTCCGGACTGCATCGAAGGGGTCGGTTTCCGCTCGGCAATTTAAAAGATTTTAACTCTGTAATTTTCAATTGATTTTTATTCATCCAAAAGCTGCAATCTAAGCAAAGTGAATAATTTCTCCTGTTTATTTTTCCTTGCAAAAAGTCCCTCATTGGAATTCAAGTCTTCACCATTTTTTTTTAAAGAATTGTTTATGAAAACGATTGTCACAGATTTTCGCATTCGAATTTCCTTGCATGTTCATCAAGGACTATTAAAATAAAATATAGACAGCAAAGAGTACTTTCTGCCCTATATGTTTAACGCCAGTTCAACCATCCCATCCTCTCCCAAATTTCAAGGAAATGTTGCATTTCTTATGATTCTTAGTATAACGTAATTTAAATATAAAATTTATATGAGCTAAATGAATTCAACAGCGTTCGTCCTTGAAAATCAGAAATTCAACCGAGTCATTTCTGCAGGAAAAATACGAGTAATTTTGCAGGACGCCCTTGAAAAAGTCGACGAAACCGGATGCAGTCGTACGACTCGCGTAACGACGACGTCACGTCACGTCACCGGCCGCAATTAAAACCGGGTTCCGCTGCGTCACGCTGAACTTTCTCTCCCCAGGTGCTGCGCTGGGTGTTCATCCCCAACATGATGCACCCCGAGTTGTCCACGGTGATCTCGGAGGACTCGACGGTGCGACCGGGACAGGCCGACAGGTTCCAGGTGACCCTCGACGGAGGTCGGAGCGACCTGGTCATCCGGGACGCGGAAACGTCCGGATCCGGAGGAGTCTATCAGTGTCGCGTCCTCCAGTGCGGCAGGCCTCGGCCGTCGGTCGTCAGCTCCTTCGCCATCATCAAGATTCGGTGATCATGCATTATTTATTCCGAGTCGAGTACAATTGAAATAAAACGCAACGCGATTCTATGACTCATCTTGTTGTGAAAGCATGAAGACACGAATAGATGATAAGATAATTCATCACACAGAGCACCACGCAAAGCAAAATATTCAGCAAATATTTAAAAAGTTTTTCTTCATGTCGACACCGGTGTGCGTCACGGTCGAATGAACTCCGTCGACCTAGGAGGTCTGGGGTCGAATGACCCGACCCCAGAAGAGGGGGAGCCCGGTCGGATTATCCTTGATGAAGAAGATGAAAGGCCGATCCACGCGGAAGCTGCGGAAAGTCCTCGAAACCCCGGCGATGGTCGCGGCGGCCGCCACCGTCCCCTTCTCGTTCACCTCCACGTTCGCCTGATGCAGGACCTCGTCCACGTACAGCGTCTCGTTCACCGCGATGTCGCGTAGGTCGGCCGAGGCGGGCGAAAATAAGTCGCACACGCCCAACGCCCCCAAAACGGATCGAAGATCCGTCTTGTATTCCATCGAGAACCGCGGCATCGCGACGGTGACCGTGCTCACGTTCATCGACCGGACCAAGGTGTCCAGACTCCTCGCGTCCAGTCGAGACTCTAGCTCCTGCAAACCCCTCACGCCTTGATCGAAGGGAAGAAGGATGTAGAGGCTCATCTCGAACTTGTCGTACGGCAGGGCGATCACGCTCACGCCCAGTTTATCGTCTCGGGCGAAGGGAATCTCCATCACGTTATTCATGATCGGGACCCGGAGGACTTCGTTCGGACTCACGGTGAAGGTGTCGATCTGCGTGTCCTTCTCGGGGAAGGGATAAGCCCAGTTCCCCTTGAAATAAATGGCATTGGCGATCATCAGATTCGTGTCCGGACTCGGCGGTTGACTGAGGATGTCCTTGATCCTTCCGTCCGTCTGGTTCCCGACCCACCGGTTGATGTGCTCCCTCGCCTTCACGGGATTCTTGAAATCCACACCCCTGATGGTGGACTTGTAATAGGTCTGCACGTCCTCGTAGTAGTAGAGAATCACGCTGAGCCCGATGTTCCCGAAGAGCGTGTTTGAGTAGTTGAGTGTCACTCCTCGGTCGGGGCGGAGGAGCGCGGTCAGGTTCCGGTTGTACGCGTCGTGGATGTTCCTTTCATCCTCGTTTGCGGGGTATCTGGAGACACAAAGAGGTGTTTAATGGCATTGAACGGCATTTGAATCTGGCATTCCCATAGGTACCATAGGAAAATGTAGGTATTGCGATCGGATTGTTACTTTCTTTAAACTTCCTTTTTCATTACGCCTGTCCACAGTATCCATAGCAACCCGGCAACTCGACTCAGTGCGCATGTGCAGCTTTCAGCCTGGGTCGGGGTGCCAGCCTTGGAATAAACCCTTCACTTCCCTTCCGACATTCGCGGATGATGGAAGCATAGTTGATAATGGGAGAGAGTGGCTCTTCCTGCCACCGTGAAGAGGGTTGCTGCCCGAATTCGTGAATTTGCCACATTTGACATCCTATGCTCCATACTCGCATCCCATTTCTACACGACAATTACGCGCGAACCATCAATGACATGGTCGAGTTCATCGTTTCTAATCACGAAGGCCTACGACTTAGGACTAACAGCTTTTGCTTTCAAAGTTTGATGGTTGATACCCAACGAAGGGTGATAATTCCAGAAATGTGTAGTGGCCAGATGAATGGCATATATGCCCCTGGGTTGGCACTCCAATTTTTCATTCTCTCCGTCCCTAGTTTTATAGCAACTGGACAACTCGACTCACTGCGCATGTGCAGCCACACGCCTGGGTCGGGGTGCTAGTCTACGAAGAAAACCTCCACTTCCCTTCTTGCCCTTGCAGATGACGGATGCATAGTACACAATGGGAGAGAGCAGCTGCTCGTATCAGCGTATACAGAGTTGCCAGGCGTACTCGTGAAATGCCAAATCTGGCATCCACAACTTCATACTCTCATTATCTCCACGCGAAGCTTCCATACGAACAATCGAGGACACAGTCCAACTGTCCGAAGCTAATCACGTAGGAATCACAGCTATAGATTTTATGTTAGTTGGTTACAATGCGACGGATTTAATTCTAGAAGTACTAGAAGTACTGGCTAGTGGAATGGCAGATCTTTACCTAAGCTGGAACTCTATTCAGAAATTGTCATCACTTTTTGTCCCCATATGTTGCAATAACATTTTTGCAATTGTTGATGTTCCTAAAAACAAGAATATTTTCAATTTGCTTTTCGGTTTCACTGCCATTTCATGAAAACAAGCTGATTCTTCCTTTTTAAAGTAAAATAATAGCTGGAATTCCACCATTTTCAAGTTTCATACACCTACAAGCCATTGAGGTACTTTTTCCATTGTTCTATTAAATAGTGAAAAAATTAATTGAAGCCAGTTGCCGGAGAGAATTCCTTGAGGGGATTCCCCATGGGAAATCGCCGTCTCCTTATGAGGGATTCACTTTTTTCCCCTTTATTTTGTTTCGCTCCAAGACATGCGTAGCTGAAGATGCTGATCCCCAAGAGTTTTTTTTTTTTTTGCTAGACCGCCGCAGCCGCGAATCGAAAAAAAAAATGCATATCAATCGGCAGTCCTTTTTTTTCTCAATGCATTTCATAACTGCGCCCCGAATACCATATCTCTCTATTTCCTTAAAATTCTTCACGATTTCGCTGACCTTTGTCGGCTTTTCCGCCCCGCTTCCTCTTCCTCCGAGGAGGAAAAAGAACCCTTTTCCAACGAATATCTTTTCGAAGCGGAAGCCTTCGTGTTATCAGCGTTGCGCCCATTCCAGCGACATTGCCGGCTGCATTTCCGCTTGACGGAAGCTACAATATGCCTAAAATCGGCCATGCAAATCGCGAAATGGCCCGTGAACGAGTCGAACCCACGGAGACTTGCAATTCTTACCGACTCGACGGAAAACGGAACGACGCGATCCGTGTGACTCCGGAAGCGTGACGTCACGCGGCTGTAAACAAACCCATCGCGATTCGTGACCACAGTCCACAACGCAGAACGGCGCACTTCAACTCGGGTGTGTTTACATCCTCAATTCCTTTGTAAAACGGTGAAGTCACGAGTTCTCCCCCGAAAGTTCTCGGAATCGCGATTCTCCTACGAAAACCGAATAAAAAGGGATCGGGAAGATACCTGAGAGCAGCCTTGATTTCTTTGCCCGTGTCCCCTTCCGCTCCGAGCCAGAGCATGGAGAGGGCGGAGGATATGCTCAAGGGAGAGATGAGGACGTTGCCGGTGGAGTCGGCGGGGAGCTTTCCCTTGCGGTCGCCGCGAACGCATTGGCGTAGCTTCTCGCCGGTGGTGAGGACCTGCACGATGTCGAGGCCGAGCTGGGTCATGGACTCGTGGAGGTCGAAGGGGGCGCTCTCCGTGATCTGGATGACGGGGGGGTTGGAGGACTGAGGGCGGGAGGACTGGGGGTCGGAGGACTGGGGATTGGAGGATTGGGGGTTGGAGGACTGGGGGTTAGAGGACTGGGGGTTGGAGGACTGGCGGCGGGATGAAAGGATGTTGGAGATGCGAAGAGGGGGGCGGATGTCGGAGTCGGAGCCGGGGATGGGGGGACGGGGGGGAAAGAACTCTGAGTCGGTCCCGAGGCGGGGCACCAGGTTCTGGAGGAAGGGGAAGGTGATCCCGTTCCCCTCCGTCAGGAGGGAGAAGAGGAAGGCGAGGATGAACACTCGGAACATCGCCTTTCTGTGGAGAGAGAAATAGGATTTTCGCATTTAAGAAAAATTCGATAAATTGAATAAAACAACTAAATTGCAAGTTCAGTTCCTTTTCTAAGATCTCAGAATTCACGGAATAAAATAAGACGTTTCCGAAACGCGTGTTGAAAAAACAGGAAAGCCCCCGAAGAACCCCAACGAGCACTCGCCAACCACCCGTTCGACTCGACACCACCGCCATCACTGGACGGCCGTACACGCGAGACGGGGCTAATTACGAGCACGATACTTTCCGTTCTGACCTTCAGCATGAAACACGCGCCGGCACGGACTGGAACGAGAGCGATTGCGTGACTCCGTGCCCATCCCCGTTCCTGCGAGCGGAAATCCACGCGAAGTTTCACTATCAACACTGAAAATCGACTCGATCGACGATGCTCATTTCTCACACCCCCACACCAAAGAATCCCGTAAAGGAGAACTCCCTCTCATGAAGCTCCCCCTCAACGACGATCCCCCTCACCACCTCGCCTCGCGAACCCACCGAAACGAACTCTCCTCCATGGTCACCCCTCACAGCACGGGAGCAGAAGGAATGCAGCAGACGCGGAGGAAGGACGCACTCTGAGGAGTCGGAGACGCAGAGAGAGGAGGACGGAGGCAGACCGGTTTGCGAAGGCCCTGGAGGCGCTCACTCCGTCCGGAAGGATCCCTGGGTGGCTCCTCGCAAGGTCACCCTATGACGAAACAGCTTTCCTCTCTCTCTCTCTCTCTCTCTCTCTAGCTGATGACGCGCATTGACCTCTAATTAAAGAGGAAATGCCTCGGAGGGGATTTCCCTTCCGATATAGCCCCCGGGAAACGCGCATCCTTCCTCGTATCCCTGGGACACGTCCCATTGTGACATGTCCCAAAATGGGACATGTCACGAGGGGAATGCCGCTCGTGTCACGCCCCGGTTCAAAACGAGACAATACGCAGCCACCAGAGCGTGCACGCTAACGGTAAATTGCATAGATTTTCCCTTCGCGGAAGAGAGAACCCTAATTGTTTTGACAAAACGAAACAGAGAAAATTCCAATTCCTCAGGATGTGACCTTTCTCTCCAAATAAACTCATTTTCCATTCATGAGTCCGTTCATGAGTCGATGCCCGACTTAAAAAAAAAAAAAGATCCCAGAAGTCTGTGAATGCGAAATGAATTCTCCCTCACTCGCCGATCAAACGGACTTCTCACGATGATAAATTCTTTCCGTTTTCTCTCGTGGAAGCCTCAGACCCCAGAGACATCTAGCGAGGGCCGAGCGAAGCCGAGGAACCGGTTTCGTCCGCGAAGACGTAGAAAAAAAAAAGTCGAACGTCCATTTCCAAGGAAAATTGTCCATCCCAAAGAAATCGTCCTCACGTACGAACGCGTCACGCCATCCACGCCCATTCCTTCAATTTCTTCCGTCTTTCAAGTCACGGCGACTCGAGCCAAATGACCTTGGGCGATTCAACCGCTCAAGGTCATTTGGAGGATTCTAGTCATGGATTCATGTTAATTAATTAATTAACAAAGCTTCCGCAGGAAAAAGTTTTTGCTAAATTCGGCAGCGCATTCATCGGCCCTTTTTTCGTGCATCAAAGAGAATCCGACCACTCATCCGACTCCGATTCGATCTCGGGATGGAAACCGGTCGAGAGTCACTCCATCCTTCCCAGTCGTTTCCATCAAATTACCTTTCTTCAACCGCCGACAAAATTCGACCGGCTCGTATCCCTCACTGCGAGCATCGACGGGAACGAGATTTGGCATGTTTCTTCCTCTCTCAACGCAGAATCGTTCCAGCAAGTTTGAAGATTCAATTCCCCGTGGTTGTGGAGATCACTGAATCTCATTTTTCGGATATGACAATTTATTTCCTGTATTATTATTATTATTTATTTATTTATTTATTCTTCCTCCTGGGAATTTCTTGGAGGAAAGAGACCTATCAAACGATAGATATTAACTTGCAGGCGACAAAAAGTGTCCTTTTTGTTGCTTCCAGTACACCATTTCCCAATAATAATAATAATTAAATCAGATGCCCTTAATTTAGGTCCATACCGTGATGGGAACGTCACGTCCTCCAGTGTTGCCGGATATCGCGCCTTAGTCATGCCAGATCCAAGACTTCTTCGGCCTTAGTATCTTCGTCTGGATCTGTTGCTTTTTCAATATATTATATAATTTGTGTCGGGTTCATGAGATGAGCCGAGATCGAAATGGTGGCTAACAGCGGCAGATCGATTTGGCGGGATGAGGAGATATCGCAATCGGACATCCGTGGATAATTGACAGAATGGCGCCCGGGTTGTATTCCCTGGCTTCCATTTTCTCCTCAGGACTCGTGGAGACGGCTCGAGGAACTTTTGATGGGCCTAACGTTCCTCATCCGCACTAAATGGTTCATGAAACTCGAAACAGACTTCTAATCGGTTTAACGTTCCACGTCCTCGACGAGATGTCTGGAAGACTGGAGATTAATCCTCAGGCCTATTTGGCCCAGTAAGTGGAGGATTGCGTTTCTTTTGAACGAAAAAAGGTAGGCCTAGGCCTGACCCGAAGGCAGTCCGTCGGTTAGGACTAGGCCTAACGTTAGTGAGTTTCGTAGAGGAAAGGGAATTGGGGGGGGGAGGTCGAGGGGTTGAGGAAAGGTTAAGCCATTGAAAAATGGTTTTAACAATACTGCATTTTGACTTGAATGAACCGGGTTGAACCCACCTCCGTTTCCTGCAGGCACGGAAATCCGCAAAAGCTGAAACGAGCCCGCAAACGGAAATTCAATCATTTCAATTCTTTGATTGCATTTTTTTTAAATAAAAAAAATGACTTTGAAATTCGATTCGATCTGATGCGAATGCAGCCTTGAAGAAACCTGCGACGCAGAGGACGACCCGAGGCGATCTCATTCGAGTCGCAGAACAAAAGCAAGTTTTCCGGGAGCCGACACACCCGCAGGCGATGGATGTCCCCGTCGGACTGAGGCGACAGGACAAACGAGAATCTTTCCTTGACGATGCCTCCACCAATCGGATTCCCGATTTCGTCTGGGCAGCAAATGACGTCACAGCCCAAGACCTGGGACGTGTCTTTTTTCCTAGCGGCTCTGCTGAGACCTCCAGCATCCCATGACGTCATGCTATGGCTGAGCTCCTCAGCGCTCTCATAGTTCACTTTGTTCCGCTGCCAGCTGCTTGCTGTGACGCCATTCAATGACGTGGTCGTGCCTAGCCAACGCGTTTTTTTTCGCCTAGCAGCTGCTAACGGCTGGAGAAAAAGACACGCCCATGGCTTTGACTCTGAGACCGAGACTGAAATGGTATAGTGAATAAGATGGTACTTCGAACCAGCTTTGTTCACGTTACTTTCGTCAAGGTGCCGTTTCATTGGGTCGGGTCTCGAAGGGTTAAGCACTTTATTGCTACCTCAAATTTCTGAGGCATGGGGTGAAAGTTTGAACAGAGCACTATCTGATAATGCAGATTTGTTTCCCGGGTTTATGATGCATTTTCTCTGAATAAAGCTGCATTATCGCATAATGCTCTGTTCAAAAATCTACCTTAGTCCCACCCTAGCGATCTGAGTTCTCCAATTTTTCCGCTGGCCAAATTTTCTTTCCAGGTCGTCTTTCGCTGGTTTTCTCCTATGTACCCAGTTCATTTCTCTGCAACATGTGTTCTTCAGATTTGTTGAACTTAAAATGGAAAGGTGATGCATTCCGCTTTCACTCGAATAAGAATGAATAAATAAATATAATTTTCTTTTTTAAACAAAGAAATATGCGAAACCCTTGAAACTTCCTTGGCGATCGGGTCCAGTCTGGCGGTT